CTCGCCAGGGCAGCAGCGACACGACGGTAACACCGTGCCACCACGACAAACACCACGATTGTCACGACACACCACGGTTGCCGAAACGAAGAAGAGGAAGGATCTGCAGCCTCTAAAGAAGTACTTTATGTTGGCTCTTTTTCTCTCTTTCTTATTCCCTGCTGCGATTCTTCTCGGTCGATCTTTCCGTGTCTTCTCTGTGTGGGAGCTCCCTTTTATGGACCACGCACGTGTACACGCGGACGACGATTCAGGAAAACGCGACCACTCACATACACACCCATACACGCGTTTCTCGCAGGCACCCACGCACGTCGTGCACCTGCGGACCAACCGCTTGCGAACGACTGAATCGCCGGCGGCGCGTGTTACTCGTTTTAAGTATCGAACCTCCACCACACCGCGTTGTCAGCCGTTGACTCCTCGTCGCTATCGTCCACGTCGACGTCGCCGTGACGTCGTCGCCGCCACTGCCGCCGCCGCCTTCGGTCAACGGGCAGGAGCAGCAGCGGGAGGAGAAAGAGGCAATCGTCAAGTCATGTGGCCGCCGACGAGTGGGGAAGACAACGGAATGATTCTCGTGATGATAGTGTCGCGTGCGCGGCCACGAACGCGGATGTCCGCCGTCGCGCGCGATCACTGCGGCGATCGCGTATGACCTTCCCGATTCGCGGATATTCACACCACACGGACATCCAACACGCGACCTTGTCTCACGCCTCCTGCACGCTGAGTTTCACACGGGGTCTCAACAAGACCGGAGATTTGTCATCGCCTTCTCTCGCCGAGTACCCTCTATATTTCACTTTATTCAAACTGAGCTAACCAACCAGATTTGTCAGGTCTCAGATTGTTGCGTCAAATCGTTTTGCTTAATAAAAAAATCTCAAGCTCAGTCTGATGTTATATCTTCGTCTTGACTTTCGTCCATTGACTTTCCTAGTCACGTCCGCTTATTAAAGATTTTCATATCTTCGTACCTTCATTTCTTCAGCTCGAGATGAATGTTTTGCTACTGGATCTCTCGTATTTCTCGATTGTCTCCTCTCTCTCGTTTCCTTCTCGAGTGTAGCAGAAGAAACGTGCACTTCGCCGGCGTTGGAATTTTTCGCCGACACGACTCAATTACTCGCGCGGCGTCGTCAGCGTTCCCGTTCTTCACGCGTCTATCATACCTCCAGAATTCCTCCTCTTACGCCCGTTTCTTCGGGTGTCAGCAAAGCATCTGGTCAGATCCTCCTTCCGCGCATTTCAATCGTTCGCCCTTCGTTTTGTCTAGTATACAATCCCTCGTTACACAGAAACCCTCATGATCTTGATATTCTCTCGCATATCCTCTCTTTTCGAGAACGTCAACGAGTTGACGCCACGAGAGACGCCCTCTTCCATGAAAATTCTCTACGTTTCTTGACTTGTTCGAAGAAAAAAAACGAAATTCTCGATTTTGTTTCAGCTTATTGTCGTGCTCTTCAAGTTTACGATCATGCCCGGTTACAAAGAAGTGAATGGCCAGCCACTCGAACGAGGTCACGGCGCGTAGCTGACCGAGAGGTCGATCACGTCATCGAACACCGCATCGTTCCCTTGGGTGCACCGCAGGAGACGAACGATGAGATGTATCGCCAAGGTCCTGGCTAAGTTAGATCTCTCTTTGCTTTAGAACGGGTCTTGGGCTGCAAACGATGTTAAGAGAAATTGATTAGTCGAAGTTTCCAACAAAAACTCTTAGTTGGTTTCGGATAAAGTAAACTCGGATAAGATGGCCATACGGAAAAGATGGCAACAGACTTTCAAAATTACTTTAAAAATGGTCTACTTAGTAATTGTTGGAGAAATTACAGCCTGTGGTCATCTTTCTCGTACAACCATAATGCTCGAGTTTATCCTACTTGAACTTGCAAAATCGCAGTTGAACTACTTAAAGTGCCTGATAATCACGAAAATTAATTTCAAAGCAAGTTCTGGTACACGATGCTAGTATACATTATATACGCTTGCTAAAAGCCTGAGTTGGTCAGTTTTGTAATTTATGAATTTTTATATCAACTCCAAGTGCCAAAGAACTTTAAAAATTAAAAACTACAGGAAAATTAATTCCGAGGAACAGTTCAAAAACAATTTAAAGTATACATATGCAAACACATAATTATACAAAGGGATTAGGAACTATTTAAAGACATTATCTATCTTGGCATTTCGAAACATTATTCTCCATCGTTAACAATGCATCACATCGCCAAGGACTCACGCTTTGTACTAACGTCACGTTTGAAGAACGTTCGGCCTAGTCAGCATTTTCGTGCCGAAAAAAAAAGATTCAGCCTAGCAAAATCCACGTCGGTTTACGGTGATTACAGCACGAATAGTTTCGCCTCGACGAAATTGCATTCGCCACATAACGTGACCTGATTCTCTGTTATGGATTAGAGCTGATTTTACAACCGCTCGACGATTCCGCATTACAGAAATCGAATGGGAAGCCAGTTGTTACATGATTTTTTATGAGAGCCGTCGTTATAACGTGGCATACCATCGAATTAATCATTGTATCCAAGCTCTTACTTAACTTTCGTTACACTACATAATTCACGTACACGTTACTATCTATTGTGATCGTAGATTAAGCAGGAAGCAGGAAACTTGCGTTTCAAACGCATCAAAAATTATCATTTCAAATCATTTACTGCAATTATTATTGTCACGGTAATTGTAAAAAAAATAAGACTAATTTTCTATTTGTAAAACGTATTTCATAATATAAAACGTTTTAAAACGTTATTTATTTATCACTCTTCAATTATTATTAAATTGTATTGTATATATACATATATATATATATATACTCGTATATAGGTATATTTATGTATTTTTAAATAGCTGATGTAAATATAAATTTTCTTCGATTTTATAATATTACAAAAACGTTTTCCAATTTTGATGGTAATCAAAAATACTTGTAAAAATATTATATTAATTTATTACTTATCTACTCTCTAAATCTGAACCAGTGGATAATCACTGATATCAGTGCCAAGTATGTCACTGGTAATCAATGAGTGAAATGTGAAATTCCTAACCTAGCTAACCTTTATTATGTGATATAATTAATCTTATTTTAATGCATAAATTCAATGAATATAATATTAGAAAATTGAAATTAACATATAAATATCAATATTTTAAGATATATAATGCTCAAATCTTCTTTTTTTTAATTGAACTTTACTGATTATCCAGTGCCAAATACGTCACTGGATGATTAGTAAATAGTGGCATACTTGGCACTGATATCAGTGATTATCCACTGATTCAGATTTAGAGAGTATCAAAATCAAATCGATTAATTCGTTTCGTTAAACTATGTCATTTAAATCTTGTTTCAGATTCCTCTCTTGTAACTTTTGCATTTTATTTTTTTTCTCTTATTAACGATAGAAACTTAAAGATATATGAAATAATATTGTTATAAGACAATTTTCGATGATTAGTACATTGCAATTTAAGGAGTTTGCTCACCTTTTGCGAGGAGTGTGCGGTAAGGGAAGCGACTCCTGTATTTATGCATAGAAAAGAATGAGACAAAATCATGAGACAAAGAATGAAACAAATGAAATCCAACACTATTGATAAAGGACAGCAATAGTTTTTGATCTATTATTGGTTGTCACACAGTGAACGTTAATAGTGTCTTTACCAAATATTTATTGATATATATAAAATTTATAATGAAAAGTTTTTTATTCAGATGGTAGCATTATTTACGAAGTTACGCGGTAATAATCATCATGACTATATATTTCGTCTTATTCTTACTCATATTAAGAACATACATAAAAATCACGATCTTTAGCTTTAGATTTCTTACAAACTATGTAGACAAATTCCTTAAAATTTTAACTGTGAATGCGTTATGCTGCTAAGAATGTAATATTGAACTTTTATGCAAATCGTAACATTTCCATTAAGGTGAGCAAACTCCTTAATTTCTCTGCAGCGTAACAAAAGTTTATATTCCTCGGCGTACTTCATTCATAATTTCAGTTACAAATAATATCATGCAAGATTCTAATAATTTACGAAATCTATCTCAAGATCTAGAATTAGGACTCATGCTCAATTAATGTCCACGGTCACTTGGGTGCTTTTTATTAGCAAACTTTTTATTAGTAAACTATAAATCTCCATAGTGAAATATAGTGCTGTAAGTTCACATTATCGTCACGTTCAAAGGACTTTTCGAGTGAGTCAGCCTCCGGAAAAAGGACTCAACATTGGTCCGCCTGGACGGTTGCAACCCGCAGGAACATCCAGTTCGCCACGAGGAAATTGCATTCGCGAGTTGGTCTTCTACCAACCTTGTTTCACCCCTCTTCCCTTTCGTCTCGCCAGAGTGATAAAGAGAGAATAGAAAAGGGTTGCTAGAGAAATGAATTAAATTTAAGCCAACTCGCGTCCTATCCAACTACCCTCGTCCTCATCTCTGACACCATCCTTTCCCTTCTTTTACAATCCTCTCGCACTTTGTGTCAGGCTTCTCTTTGTCATTCTATCCTCTTCGTAGTTGAGCCGGCGCAACCGACCGGCTGAGACGACAGCAATGGCCCTCTTTTTAATTTCGAGATAAAAGAGGGCAAAACTGCCATTCGAGGGAAGCTGGACGGAGGGTCAATCAAGTCGAGTTATAAGTCCCGTCGGAGAGAAGAAGCGTTCTTTTAAAACGGATTCAATCTCTTGACTAAAAGTGCGGTCGTACCAAAACGGACGAGACGATTGGCAGATCTTTCGTCAGGTATATAATAATCGCCTTCACGCTGGAAA